GTTAGGGTCATGCTTAGTGTCATGCTCCAGGGTCATGCTCACTGTCAGTGTCATGCTCCAGGGTCATGCTCAGTGTCATGCTTCAGGGTCATGCTCACTGTCAGTGTCATGCTTCAGGGTCATGCTCAGTGTCAGGGTCATGCTTAGTGTCATGCTCCAGGGTCATGCTCAGTGTCAGGGTCATGCTTAGTGTCATGCTTCAGGCTCATGCTCAGTGTCATGCTCCAGGGTCATGGTCAGTGTCAGGGTCATGCTCAGTGTCATGCTCCAGGGTCATGCTCAGTGTAATGCTTCTCCTCCTAGCCTTTTAGCCCATTTTCAATCCAGCATCCAGAGGATTCTTCCTAAAAGACAGCGACTGCAAGATGGCAGCGGGTGCACCGTACCCCAATCTGACAGCCGCTTTTGTCTGTTATCAAGAAAAGGTTTACTTCAGCTGGGTGCAGTGGCTCATGCCTATAATTCCAGCCCTTTGAGGCAGGAGGATCTCTTGTGGCCAAGAGTTTGAAACCGGTCTGGACAACATAGCAAGATGCCTGCCCCCCTACAAAAAATAAGAATAAAAAATGTAGCCAGGTATAGTGGCTACAGATGAGGCTATAGAACCTCATCCTATGATTAGGATGATTAGCTATGATTACGCTGCTACACTCTAGCTGGGGTGACAGAGAGACCCTATCTCTAAAAATAAAGAAAAGAAAAGGTGTGTACATTCAGAAATTTTGCCATCTCATAAAAGCAAAAACAACATCTAACTCCTTAAGAGTTTGCCATGAGATAGTCGGGGAGACTTGATGCTACGTAGGATTTTCACAGACACTCCCTGTCTCACTGCAAAGCACGGATCTGCTCTGGAGCACAGTGTGACATATAAAGCCACTTAACCGCTCTCGTAAACCACAGTGCGTCCCAGTTCACTGGAAGTGCAGGTCAAGTGGGGGGACCTCCCGGGGGTGGTAGAGCCCCTCACTTGCTTGGGGACCTCTCTCAGTTCTGTGGGTGTAACTGACTAGCACACAGGGACTGATCACGAATGCCAGTGTCTACCCAGCTACTCAATACTAGCAAAGCTTCCTTTCTACTCGTGTGAGGAAAATAAGTAGAAATGGAACGTGTAGTGTTTTCTCTTTCTCAGTGGCCTGCCCTGTGCCCCTCCACCTGCGAAAGGTCTCAGCTGCAAATCTCCTGGGCGGGGGCTGGATTTTGATTTTATATCCTCAGCTACCCCAGGGTCTGCCCTAAGTAGCACTGGACAGGTGTCGTGTGAATGAGTATATTCACTAAAGAACCCTGGATCTCTCTTCATCTCTTTAGTTATTGCGGGGTTTTTTATTTGCTTGATTTTTTTTGTTGTTGTTTTAAGGTAGAGTCTCACTATGTTGCCCTCAGTAGAGTGCTTTGGCATCACAGCTCACAACAACCTCAACTCTTGGGTTTAAGCGATTCTCTTGCCTCAGCCTCCCAAGTAGCTGGGACTACAGGCACTCGCCACAAAGCCTGGCTTTTTTTTTTTTTGGTTGTAGTTGTCATTGTTGTTTGGCCGACCCAGGCTGGGTTCGAACCTGCCAACTCCAGTGTATGTGCCTGGCATCCTAGCTGCTGAGCTACAGGCGCCAAGCCTATGTGCGTGTTTTTGTCATTTATTTTATTGAGGCAAAGTCTCCCAGGCTGGAGTGCAGTAACATTGTCATAGCTCACTGTAGCCTCAAACTCCTAGGCTCAAGCCAGCTTCCTGCCTCAGCCTCATGAGTAGCTGGGACTACAGGTGCACACCACTACACCTGGCTGATTTTTCTATTTTTTTGTAGGGAAAGGGTCACACTATGTTTTTAGGGCTGGTCTTGAACTCCTGCAATCACCCTCCTTGGCTTCCCAAAGTGCTGGGACTACACTAGGGTGAGCCACCTCACCCAGCCTAGTTATTATAATTATGGATGCACATGTTTGCTGGAAAAAGCATCGTTGTTAATTTTTTAAAAAAATAACATTCATTGTGTTAAATCTGGTTTTCTGAACTGTCTTGGTAACATTTGGAGCAAATAAAAACATGTTTCATAGGTCTCCGGTGATACCAATCACAATTCTTTAAAAAATGTCTTTCGGCTGGGGGCAAAGTGGCTCACGCCTATAGTCCTAACACTCTGGGAGGCTGAGGCAGGTGGATTGTTGAGCTCACAGGTTCAAGACCAGCCTGAGCAAGAGCCAGACCTCATCTGCAGAAATAGTCAGGCATTGTGGCAGGCGCCTGTAGTCCCAGCTACTCAGGAGGCTGAGACAAGAGAATTGCTTGAGCCTGAGAGTTTGAGGTTGCTGTGAGCTGTGATGCCATGGCACTCTACCACGGATGACAAAGGGAGACTCTGTCTCTAAATAAATAAATAAATATCTTTCAGTCTCTCTATTTTCATGTATTTCTGCCTTGAAAGTATATAAAGATCTCATACGTGGGGTCCTCGTAATGAATTCTTCTATAGCACATTGATAGCAGAAGATAAATACTGTGTTCTAGCCAAGAGGGGAGGGTTTGCTTTCTATAGTTAGAATTTTTTAATGTATTTGTTTGCCAAATATGAAATCAGGATAGTCCATAATAACTTTCTGAATCTCCTCTGTCCTTCATTTCCCCATCTCTTAGTTTTTCTGATGCCTGCCCCCTGCGCGGTTCACAAATCTCTAACTTAGAGAAAAATTGTTTGCTGTTATCTACGCTACCGCGCCTCCATGATGCAAATAAAATGTCTGCGTCTCTGTGTCTTGTTATTGTTTTAACATTTGGTCCGCTGCCTGGGGACTGGGTGGTTCTCTTTAAACTCTTTGACTCGGGTCTCAGCAGAGAAAGCAATATTTTGTTATGAGGTAGAGTTTCGAGCCAAGCTTTGGCCAGGGTCTTTCCCATCTGGGAGACGGAGAGCAGGCACAGCAAGGGAGATGATGATTCCCCTTGCATTTTAGCTCATTAAAATCTTCCCTCATCCTCAGTCGGTTATTTATTGATTTAAGCATCTAGCGCTTTTCCTTTCCAGAAAGAATTAACATGTATGATGTGATCATTGGTAAGGGAGGAGATTTTTGTCTTTTCTCAGTGGGATTAACTGTCCCCCGGTTGCTTATTAACACAGCCCACTTTCGAGTGTGTGGAGGTGCAGAGCTGAGGGGCAGAAATGAGATTTCTGAGATTTATAGGCAATGAAAAGAACAGGTTTTATCAAAGACACCTCGTGTGGGAAACCGAGTGTTCTTAGGGGACTCGTGTGAACCTGTGATCCTTGGCTTTTTCCAAAACGAACGTTTCATTCTTATTTCTATTAATGTCCTTTTAGCAGATATTTTAACACTTTCTGGCTTTGCTGCTCTTGGGCATGAAGCTCACGCCAAATGGCATCTTTTATCTGCTGATCTGCAGCGTGCCTTAAAAGTTTGCATTTTTCCTGGGGTGGACTGTGCTTCATTCTTCGACAGTAGTGTATGTGAATGACGAAATACTTTTTTATATGAATGTTCAAAATCCTTTTTCCACTTAAACACTGTTATTCCCCCACATGTAACACCGTCCAGAAGTCTGGCTGCTTTCCTGATTTATCTGCAGTGCTCATTTGCGGCATTACCCGACTGATCGCCGGTGATGTTGGCTGCAGCCTTCCTCGTGCCGGCAGCACTGTCATGGCCCTTGAGCACAGAAGAATGGTTATTTGGGAAATTTCAGCATGGATCTCTCTCTCTCTCTTTTTTTCTTCTTGACTGTGAGTCTCACTTTGTTGCCCAGGCTAAGAGACCTCAAACTCCTGGGTTCAAGAGATCCTCCTGCCTCAGCCTCCCGAGTAACTGGGACTATCGATGCCCATCACCACACTAGCTAATTTTTCAGTTAAAATCCAGCTAATTTTTCAGTTTTTAATAGAGACGGAGTCTCACTCTTGTTCTGCCTGGCCTCAAACTCCTGAAGTCAGGCGATCCACCTGCCTCAGCCTCCCAGAGTGTTAGGATTATAGGCATGAGCCACCGTGCCACCGTGCTCAGCCTGTGCTCATTAAGAGACTTGGAACCACCCTTGATCTGGCCTGTTTTGTTCATAAGCCATCACCCCCCCCCCCCACATCACCCCACTGACACCTTGGTCTTCTTTCAGTTTATTGCTGCTATCAGTATAGTTTTTTTTGCCCTATCCATTTTTTGTTTCTTTTGGAGATAAGGTTCTGTTCTATCACCCAGGCTAGAGCATGGTGAAATTCTCAAAGCTCACCACAGCCTCAAACTCCTGGGCTCCAGCCATCCTCCTGCCTCTCTTTTTTTTGATATTGCAATTAATGGTGAAAACACAAATTGTAATACTCATACAGTAACACAAATTATAATACTCCATTATAATATATTATAATGCTGAAGTGACTTCACTGAAGAAATGTTTAAAATCCCATTTTCTTTTCTCTCCAGTATGTGACAATCATGTTGTTTGTACTAAAATGTACTTGAATGGAATTAGTAGGCCAGGTGGCTCACACCTATAATCCTAGTAATTTAGGAACCTGAGGCAGGAGGATCGCTTTAGCTCAGGAGTTCAAGATGAGCCTGAGCAAGAGCAAGACCCCAACTCTACAGAAAATAGAAAACTTAGCTGGCTGTAGCAGTGCACACCTGTAGGCTCAGCTACTCAGGAGGCTAAGGCAGGAGGATCACTTGAACCCAGGAGTTGGAGGTTGCAGTGAGCTCTGATGCTGCTGCTGCACTCCAGCCTGGATGATAGACCAAGACCCTCCCATCCATACTAGCAGTTTGGAAGTAAACCCTGGATCTGTGACTTTTGTCTTAGGTCGAAATACTTTGACCTTAGCAGTTCGTCATGTATTTCTGCTTTCGATTAAAATGTGTTTGGTTTTCCCTTTTCTCTTTTAGCTTCGTGAGGCTGACATTGTGGTCATAGGCTCCCCAAAGCCTGAAGAGGTTCCTGTTACCTGGATACAACCAGGAACTACTGTTCTCAATTGCTCTCATGACTTCCTGTCAGGTAAATCTCTTAACATTTGTGAGGGGCGAGTCACATGCCAGGAATGGTCACACACACTTGAAGTCTCACGTGCTCAGATGATTGAGGCAGGAAGATCACTTGCAGCCAGGAGTTCAGGGCTGCAGGGAGCTAAGCTCACACTATTGCACTTCAGCTTGAGTGATAGGGTGAGACATTGTCCCCCTAAACAAAACCCAGAATCACACAGTTCAATGAAGCAATTAAAGGTACAGTGTGATTGTGGGGTTAATGGCTCTTTCCAACAACTGAAAGAAATATGCTATGTAAAATATGTGTAGTTTCTGCATATAACTGCTTTTAATCCCCAAAGACCCCCAATGCCTAACCTTCTGATGGTGAACAAGGCAGATTTGTCCTGTATTCAAAATCCCAGTTAGATTAAGAAAGTTAATTCTGAAATTTGTTTCTGTTAAATGAATGCTGTTTGGGTGCAATATTGACTTGCCATTTTTTGTTAAAAAGTTCATATTTAGGACAATTTTGGCACAGTCCTGCCTGAAGATAGGAGAGTCTACTTTGTCATTATATGACAGCGACAACTGAGAGTGCCATGGTGTCACTGTAGCTCACTGCAACCTCAAAGTCTTGGGCTCAAGCTATTCTCTTGCCTCAGCCTCCAGAGGAGCTGGGACTACAGGTGCCCACCACAATGCCTGGCTAGTTTTAGGGACAAGGTCTCCCTCTGGTCTCACACCTCTGAGCTCAGGCAATCCACCTGCCTCAGCCTCCCAGAGTGCTAGGATTACAGGCATGAGCCACCGTGCTGGGCCATTACTTTTTCTATTTGTAGTAGAGATGGGGTCTAGTTCTTGCTCAGGCTGGTCTCGAACTCCTAAGCTCAAGCAATCTACCGGCCTTGGCCTCCCAGAGTGCTGGGATTATAGGCATGCGCCACTGTGCCTGGCCTTTAATAAGGCTCTTATAACACTTATTTTTTTTGAAAAAGGCGTTCCCCAAAACATTAGATCCCAATGTAACAATTCTCTTGGATGAGGAAAAAAGATCAAAACATACAATTGGTCCTTGACTTAAAATGGGCTACACCCTGGTGAACTAAATCAAAAATATCTTAAACCAGAAATGGGCGTTCGATAGACTTGATGGGATGCTAAAACAGACATCCAGCAAAAGCTGGCGACTCAGTACTCTGCAGAGTATTGGTGGTTTACTGTTAATTACGTGGTTGACTGGCTTCACTGTTGCTGCTGCCAATGTCTTGAGTATCACTGCTGCTCCCAGGAAAAGATCGAAATTCAAAGTACAGTTTCTTCTGAATGTGTGTAGCTTTTGCACTATTGTAAAGTCAAAATACAATTCGTGGAGAACATGGTAATTCGAGAACTGTTTGTATATTTTGAACCGATTCCATAAGTATGCTGATTCATTTAGATTATTTTACATGTAGCAGGTCCAGTTGTCACAGTTTTTTTGTTTTTTTTTTCTAGAGACAGAGTCTTATTTTGTCGCCCTTGGTAGAGTGCTGTAGTGTCACAGCTCACAGCAACCTCCAACTCTTGGACTTAGGCAATTTTCTTGCCTCAGCCTCCCGAATAGCTGGGACTACAGGTGCCCACCACAGCACCTGGCTATTTTTTGTTGTTGTTGTTGCACTTCGGCCAGGGCTAGGTTTGAACCCACCACCCTCAGTATATGGGGCCTGCTCCTTACTCACTGAGCCACAGGTGCTGCCCAAGCTGTCACAGTTTTTGTGCTGAGCTTTGAATGCCCAGTGCGTAGGACCATGCCTGCCACCTAGTGAGGGCTCAGTGAATAGTGGGTGCTGAATGATGAATAAACGTCACCTTGGCATTGTGCTCTGCTCGTGGTTTTCAATTTGTTGCACATTTCAAGACGTTTCTTTGAACTTCCTCCCATTTAAAAATGGGGCTGGCAGGGCAGCTGTGGGGACGAAGATGAGGGACGCTGTCTCTATAGATGGCACAAATGAGCGTCTCCCAGGTGGTACTGTCCATAACAGTGTTACATTTCTAAAGAGTCAAAAGTTACAGTTTTCTCAACTTAGATTAGGAAAAATTTAATCTGTGAGTAAACTGGATAAACTTTTCCCCCCTCTTTTCTTCATAAGCTTGCCACTTTAAACAAAGAAATAGACTTGTGAAACATTATTAAAAAGAAAAGTGCTGGTCGGCACCTGTGGCTCAGTGGGGTGGAGCACCGGCCCCATATACCAAGGGTGGTGGGTTCGAACCAGGCCCCAGCCAAACTGCAACAAAAAAATAGCCGAGCATTGTGGTGGACGCCTGTAGTCCCTGCTACTCAGGAGGCTGAGGCAAGAGAACTGCCTAAGCCCAAGAGCTGGAGGTTGCTGTGAGCTATAACGTCACAGCACTCTACTGAGAGCGACAAAATGAGATTCTGTCTCTAAAAAAAAAGAAAGAAAAATGTTTTTACTTAATATCAGAAGAAGAATTTTTAATAAGCTTATGGTGAGGTGAATGAAGAGTTTTATAACTAAATTTTCATTTTCACCTTAGTGGTACAGGGTCCCTTCCCCTCCACCCTGAAAAAGTAGATGGGATAAGGTGATTTATGATGAGGTAATTCTGTGGAGGCTTTTTATTGAGTACCTAATCCTGGGAGAGATTTTCCCGATGGCTGATATCCCAGAAGCAGAGCTCAGAAAACAGTTATACCTAACTCGCTGGGTCTGTTCACTCAGTTAGTATGTGAGTCACATGTTTAGACTCAAAACTGGGAATTATTAATGTTCTATTTTCTAGCTATAAAAAACTACTTTTTTATTATTTAAAAAGAGACCCTATTTCGGGCGGCACCTGTGGCTCAGTGAGTAGGGTGCCAGCCCCATATACCAAGGCTGGCGGGTTCAAACCCAGCCCTGGCCAAACTGCAACAAAAAAAGTAGCCAGGCGTTGTGGTGGGCACCTGTAGTCCCAGCTACTCGGGAGGCTGAGGCAAGAGAATCACCTACGCCCAGGAGTTGGAAGTTGCTGTGACCTATGTGATGCCACTGCATTCTACTGAGGGCAATAAAGTGAGACTCTGTCTCTACAAAAAAAGAAAAAAGAGAGAGTCCCTATTTCACATGAAAAAAACATGCCATGATCTCGTAATACCCTGCTAAAGAGCAGAATTATTCAGAAGAGACCAGGGAGAAGCCTGGGCCCAGAGAATACCATCAAAACACAACTTTGTGGTCAGAAGTAGTTTATGGCATCATTTTAAGTAAACGTAATTCTATTTCGTGTAGAGTCCCAGCCTGTGCTGAGGAAGTGGAGGATCCCCCGGGACCATGGGCCTTCCCTCTTATGGCTAATACAGTAGAAAGAGCATGGACGTTAAAATCAGGATTAACCTAAGGAGGAAAAGACAGTTGGATTTTTGTAAGCTTTTGATTGCATTGCACTTTGGCTGTGAGAGCAAATCACAAGCTCTCTGACCCTCAATTTCCTTGTAGGTAAAATGGGAGCCCCGTTTCTGGGAGGAATGACTGAGTGGGAGCTCAGGGGCAGTGCCCCTTTGGGACTGTGCATACACGTAGGTCTGTTCCCTGCACCCCCTCCCTCAACTAACACACAGAATAACGAAGTTCAGACTTCACCTTAGCGAGTACAAGTTTATGTTTGAAAAATCAAGCCCAGGGAAGGAAGAAGTCTAAAAACTTCTGAAAATGTCGGAAGGCAGCTGTAGAGCAGTCAGACACGCAGGTAATATAATCACTGTCCTGATGTATTTGGAATAAAATAGGGATATTTGCTTATCACTTCTGAACTACATAAAATCCTTTATGTCTCTTACCTGTTCTTTTATTTTTATTTTTTTTCATATTCTGGCTCCATCCTTGATGTACTATCAGTTTTCCATTTCAAGTAGTAATAAGTTCTCAATGCAAAATATTTGGTTTTTTACTTTGAAAAAAAATTTTAATTAATTGATTTATTTATTTTGAGACGGGGTCTTGCCCTGTTACCTAGGCTAGAGTGCGGCGGCACTCTCACGGCATCATACCTCACTGCAACCTCACGGGCCTGGACTCACGCAGTCCTCTCTCAGCCTCCCAAAGCGCTGAGGCCTGAGCCCCCACTGGGCCCAGCCTGGCTTTTTACTTTTTTTAAACAACTAAGTAATTTAGAATATGTAGCCCTATTTTAATCTTCTTGGTCTCAAGCAATCCTCCTTCTTCAGTCTCCCAAGCGGCTGGAACTACAGGTACCCACCACAACATCTGGCTAGTTTTCCTTATGTTGACCACTTCCATATGCTGGTCAACGTACAGAGGTTCTACTGTATTTTATTCATATCCCTTTAAACATCTCTTGCATTGTATTCTTATAAAAATTAATGATACACTGTCATTTGCAGTGGGATTTAAATGACTTTAACTAGGAATGCACTGTCACGAGAATTATGCTAAATGACTCATACCAGTTTCATTTGTTGCTTTTACTTTTTATCCTACATAGTTAATATATTTAACTTATAAGCCAGTCACCCGAGATTTTTTTTTTATCTTTAAAAAAGGTCGTATCTATGTGAGTTTCTAATTTTTAGCTCTTCCTGATTGTAAAACCTTACATCAATTTTTTAGAGTAAAAGAAATGTTTTCCTCAAGGGGAAAAAACATTTGAAAGTTCAGTCTACGGGTTCCTAGAGCACTTTTGCGATAAGAAGGGGCTCTTGGCCAGGCTGTGTAAAAGCTGAGAAGTTTCCATAGAGCAGAGATGACAGGAAGACTGAAATTCGCCTTGGCCCCTCCCACTTCACTGATCCTTCTGGCAAAGTTGCCAGGGTGGTCTCAGAACAGCTCATGTCAGGAAAAGGGCTGTTCTGATTTCCAGGGAAAGCATGATAACATTTTGGCCTTAAATCTTCTCATTGGATAAAGCTGGGTTATAAGAAAGATTATAAATGAAAGGCTGTCTCATAAAGTGATTCATTGACTTGTCCCTGGAGGAATCACGAGTTATGGGAGAGCACTGTGGGAAGGGAAAGGGCCCTTCCAGGTTTGGGACAGAGCCCCTGTTGGATTCTGAACCCCAGAAGTCTCCTAGGCCCAGATTAGACAACCTCTAGGCACAATTCCGTCTTTACACAGGCAAGGGAGAGAAATAACGTTTCCTTTCTCAATTCTTTTTAACCATGGAGTTTATTAAGAATGTATTCCTGGCTGGGTGCAGTGGCTTACACCCGTAATCCTAGCACTCTGGGAGGCTGAGGCGGGTGGATTGCTTGAACTCACATGTTCCAGACCAGCCTGACCAAAAGCGAGGCCCTGTCTCTACTAAAAAATAGAGAAACTGAAGCAAGAGGATTGCGTGAGCCCACTAGTTGGAGGTTGCTGTGAGCCATGATGCCATGGCACTACCTAGGGCAATAGCTTGAGACAGTCTTAAAAAAAGAATGTATTCCTATTCCTTGAGTTACCAGTCTAAATTGCTTCAAATTCCCTGGATTTAGAACTTTTAATTCAATTGTGAGACTGTATTGATTCTTACTGCAAAAGCTTATGGTAGAAAATCTGCAAAATATAGAATAGTGTACAGAAAAAAATAAAGTAACTTGTGCTCTCATCACCTTGAGATAACTACTTTACATTTTTCCATAAAAATGAAAATACTATTACAATAAAAGCATTACTGAAGATCTGATGACTGTTTCTTCAAAAAGAGAATATTGGTCCTGGAAGATTCTTCGAAAAGTTTGGAATATACGTTCACATATATATATGTCAAAATAAATAGGATGCGAGTGTTACGTTTTAAAAATCTTTGTTGCTTTTTTTTTTTTTTTTTTTGAGACAGGGTCTCACTATGTTGCCCTTGGTAGAGTGCTATGGTGTCACAGCTCACAGCAACCTCAAAACTCTTGGGCTTAAGCAATTCTCTTGCCTCAGCCTCCCAGGTAGTTGGGACTACAGGTGCCCACCACAACACCCCCAGCTATTTTTTGTTGCAATTGTCATTGTGTGTAGCTGGGCTGGGAGCAAACCTGCCAGCCTCAGTGCATGTGGCTGGCACCGTAACCACTATACTACAGGCGCCAAACCAGCCTCCTGATTCTTATGCCTAGTAGACTAAAGTTTGCAAACGTCACTATGGAATGAAAAGCAATAGGCTCAGCATAGTCCCAGCTCCAAGGGCGATATAGCGAGACTCTGTCTCAGAAAAAAGAAAAGAACTAGGAGGTAACACCATTCATAAACAAAGTCAACTTTCTCTCTGGACATCTTTTAGTGTCTCGAGGAGTGCCACTTTGTCCATTTCTGCTTTTTATACTTTTTGACTGTGAGTTTGGGGCTTACCCAGGGTTTACAAGGAGAAAAAGTTTTCCTCGGCCTCCGGCGTCTATTAGTGTGCAGGGTTATAGAATCCTCCCCTCTGGTTTTGTCATCAGTCTGCTCCTACTTGCTTCTCTATTCCATGAATTTCTGAAGATTTCTGTTCCATTCGTGGTACATATTTTACCATTAGGATTTCTTTTCATTTGTCGTTACCTTTTTAATGACTTTAAATGGTGTTTTAGTTAAAAGGAGAGAGCAGTGTGCTATATGCTCCCTGCCTTCTGGAGCTTGCAACCGTGAAAGAATCTGCTTTGTTCATCGCAAAGCTTATTATGCTTGTTGAAAGTGTTTGTGACAGGGATGGGCATATTGTGATACAGCTTTTCAAAGTAGGAAATTCTCTCTTCTGCTAAATTCTGTTGTGAAAGTGACTGACATTATCGGAGGAATTCTTTACCTGGTAACTGTGGAGGTGAGGTAGTCTTCATTCACAGGGGAATTTGTGAGTGTATTCCAGGAACATGCGGCTATATTGTTACCAGCTCCTCAAATGTAGCTTTTTCTTATTTGTCTATTAATCTGGAACGAAGAATGAGCAAAGCATCTTCCTTTGCTGTAGTAGTTGGATAAGTTCTAGAGATCAGATCTCTGGTGGTTAAAGCAAAATAAATCTTTCTCATCCCCTCGACTCTTGGCTTTTGCCTAAATATAATTTATAAAACTGAAGTGTTAGTAATCTTTAAACAATACCTGAGGGATACGATTCTCCAACACCCTGAACTCATTTGACAATAGAACATCACAAAACACATACTCTGAAGGGTTTTGTGCTCTTTCTTGCAAAGGATTGGCAGCAAAGTGAATAATTTAGGAGTAGAGTTGTCCAAAAGAGAAGAAAAGAGTTTCTTAATTCAAAAAAGTTACTATTTAGAAATATTTCTTTTCTCCGGGGGAGGACGTAGGCTAAAGCATTTTGCTGGTGTGTTTCTTTCTTATACGTTTTGTAAGAGCTAAATACAGGAAGGGAAAGTCGAATTCTAATCCACATCTTTCTGTTTGGAAAATAAGGTAATTCTCAAAATCAATATCCTGAGGTGTAATTTCTTCATTTTGATAGGAAATCGGTTGTATTGCTTCTGTGACAGAGATTTTTAAAAATTATCCAGGAAAGCCTGATCTGTCACCAAACACACTGGCCGGCCTTCTGCTGTGTGCTTGTCCTCCTGCTTCTGCTTTTTGTCTAGAAATGAAATCACTTCTATTTTCTACATACTGTCCACTGAAGACTATAAACACTTGATCCAGTAAAATCAAGCCCTACTGCATAAAAAAATAAAAATCTTTGGTTAGGAAGTGCTTCTAACACGTTATGCTGTGAGATATTCATCTCTGTCACTTTCTTCTTGGTTTTGTTTTGGTTTTTTTTTTTTTTTTTTTTTTTTGGCAGTTTTTGGCCAGAGCTGGGTTTGAAACCACCACCTCCATCATATGGGGCTGGCACCCTACTCCTTTGAGCCACAGGTGCCGCCCCCTCTGTCACTTTTTTCTAACCAGTATATTTGCTCTAGGAGTTTTAATACACACTATAAGTCAAGCACTTTAGATACTATTTCATTTCATTTTTACAGAATCCTAGAAGGTTGATCTTACGTACGTTAATTAATGAGCTCGAAGTCACAACTGCTAGCATGAGGAAGAGGCCTGATTTTAATCCAGGTCTAACTCTGAAATGTGCAGACCAGGCCACCTACCTGTTAAATGTTTCACATGTTCCCTATGAAATGTCTTGAGCTCCTGTTTACATCTTAAATATACCATATTTCAAAAATCATGATATGACATTTAGGGTTGTCTGACAAGGTACTGTGTGTGTACCTAAATGCTTCTGTCTGGTTCAATGTGAGTTGTGAGTTTCCAAAACACAGTGTGCTTTGTTAAATGTATTAAATAAAATGTGTCATTGAATCCATTTATCCCAGGTACACAGTTGAGCTGCACGTTTCTTTGATGTGCAGTCGGAAGCAGCCCCAGTCCAGAGCCCCAGCGCTGCGGCTGAGTGACTGGCCTGCAGCTGTGCCCTGCTAGCCCAACTTGCTTGGTTGAAAATCAGACCATTACCCAGGGTGCTGGCTTTTTACAAGGAGCGATTGTGAATGACTATATGCTCAAAGTGTTTCTTTTGCAGGGAATGCTGGGTGTGGTTCTCCTGGGGTACATTTTACTGGCCTCATTGAGGAAGGGGACGTGAGTCTTCTTGCCGCAGCTCTGCGGATTCAGGTGTGTTTGACGTGGCCGTCTGAGAATTCAGAGTTTAGAGATTTGATCAGTAGTAGTTGCTAACCTTTTGCAAGTGTTTTCTTTTTCCCAGCTAAAGTGTTAAACACTTTACACAGAGAACAACCTGCCCTATTGATTAATGATGAAAAAGGATGCTTATTATTTGCCAGTGATCACACAGCCTGCATGGAGCAGGAACCAAATTGGGGTTTGTACATTAGTTATCTAGCACTGTGTAATAAACCGCTCCCCAGAATTTAGCAACTTCAAACAACAAAACCTGTCTGGTTTCATAGTTTCTGTGAGTCAGAGATTAGGGAGCAGATTAACAAGTTGGATGGTTTTGGTTTAGTTAAAATCAAGATGCTGGCTGGGGCTGCAGCTGTCTGAAGGCTCGACTGGGGCTGGAGGGTCCATCTGGAGAAGGTCCACTCACGCCGCTGTTGGCATGTGCTGTCCAATTCCTCATTGGCTATTGGCCAGATGTCTTACTTCCTCCTCATGTGGATGTCTCTGTAGGGCTGCTCACAGCCTGGCAGCTAACGTTCCCCAGAATGAGTAATCTAAGGGAGCGAGCAACGGGGAAGCCGCTGTGTGTTGTATGGCCCAGTCTCTGAAATCATGTGCAGTCACTTCCTTTTCTTCCGTTAGAAGTGAGTCACTAAGTCTAGTCCACATTCAAGGGAAAGAGACTGGGGCTCACCTCTTGAAGATGGAAGGATTAAAAAATTTGTAAACATCTTTTTAAACCCCCAATCTCTATGTGACCTAAAGCCCAAAGTCCCCAGCTTTCCACTGTATATAAAAGACTGAGTGAGTGTTGCATGTGGCTGGAACGTGCAGTGATGGTGACTGCGGGTGGCATTAACTGGCCGAGGAGAAAACCAGACCGCAGCAGAATTCAACAGAAGCAAGTTTTGCTTCCTTTCTTTTTTGTATACAAGGTAATATACAATTCAAACTTCCTAACCTTAAAATGGGGTGTAGTACATTTTTCTACGGCATCTAACTTAAATTTCTTTTCTTTTTTGAGACAGAGTCTCAGTATGTTGCCCTCGGTAGAGTACCATGGTGTCACAGCTCACAGTGACCTCAAACTCTTGGGCTTAAGCGATTCTCTTGCCTCAGCCTCCCAAGTAGCTGGGACTACAGGCACCCGCCACAAAGCCCAGCTATTTTTTTGTTGCTGCAGTTATCATTGCTGTTTAGCTGGCCTGGACCAGGTTCAAACCCATCAGCCTCTGTGTATGTGGCTGGTGTCTTACCCACTGAGCTCCGGGAGCCACCCTAACTTAAATTTCTGCTAAAGCCAAATTTTATTTCTATTTATTTTGATTTATTTTTATTTCATGTTTCTATAATTGATATATATATATATATGCATATATATATCTCACTATGCAATAACTTGATTTGCTTGTTCTTTATACCAACTATAGAAGGATGGTATTTGGAATGGTGCTGCATGTTTGGGGAGTTCAGCGTCTAAGCTGATCATCCCCGCAGTCTTATGTTTTCCTCATTTTTCTTTTCTAATGTAGGTGAAGCACCCACTCGGTATAATTTTATCCATGCCCTTGATGCCTTTTGTGAACACTTATTATCTCACATTTTCCTTTTTAAGAAAAGCCTACAGGCCTCGTTACATGCGAATAAAATGATTCCTACAATTCCTTTGGTTTATTGTGCAGTTCTCATCTTTTGTATGGTAGCACCTATGAAAAATATCGGGTAAGCGCCTCCCCTGTCGGCTTTTACCGTGTAACATGTGCTTCTCTCTGTGTCCCCCGCTGAAGAACATGGTCAGCAGTGGCAGGAGATGGCTTCGTGAGCAGCAGCACCGGAGGTGGAGGCTTCACAGCTTGAAACTTCAGCCTCTCTCCCCTGTACCAAGGTAACCCCAGTGATCTGTTCACACTGATGTCATCTCACCAAAGTGCCTCAGATAGCCACAATTCCTGAAGGGAGGGGCGGACACAACTCATGGTATTGTCATTTTGATGGTAGATAATGTTTTTTTCTCCTTAAAGAGACAGGGTCTCACCCCGTGGCCTGGGTTGGAGTCTGGTGGTGCAGTCATACTTCCCTGCACCCTTGAATGTCTGGGCTCAAACTACCCTCCCTTTTCAGCCTTCCAAATAGCTGAGACTACAGGCATAAGCCACTGTGCCCAGTAATAATTTTCTCTAATCATTACATTGCCACATTTGTTTATTGGATTATAAATCCTCCAAAATTAAACCATAGTGAACATGTTTACTACACTCTATCAATTCTAAGAATGCATATTTTTTCATTTCATTTGGCGATATTTCCTGTATTAAATAGCAATTTTTTTTTATTAGTGGTCCATAAAATGATTTTAGACTTGACAGTATAGGATAATGCCATCTTTGGAAATTGCTGTTCAGTGGTAGACATGCCTGGCACCCCAATCAGCGTGGTCTTGGGGCCACGTAGGTGGTTGTAGTCTGGGGGAGAATGAACAACCAAATCAAACATTATTCCATGTGAGAGTGAGCTCAGCTTTCTGCAGAGCAGTCTGATGGGACAGTGTGTGACAGTCCAGAAGGGTGTTTTCCACAGAGAGGTGTTTGATGAGGTCTAGGCTATGTACTGTCCCTGTATAACTTCAGAAGTACAAACTGCAGGACCATCCTCAGCGTGGGATTTGGAGTGATGCCCTGGACATGATGTTTGAGCCCGAGAACCCCCTGTTCTAGCCGGTGGTGCCTCATCTCTGTCGGCCGACTCTAGGGAATGGGCTCCACCCCCTTCATCCAGGTGTGCCGAAGGCCAGGTGTGCCTCCCCAGGGCCCGCACTGTGTCAGGTAGCTAAAAGCCCTCTCATAGCTCACTCATTTTTGAACTGATAACTAGTTAACTTTTGAGAATTGACCTCTGCTTTCCTTGGGCAGCCGAATGTTCCATCATACACTCACCCCCCAGCGGGTGAAACTCCAGGCTGTTTTCACCCCCACAGTAGACTAAACACGTTAGTCATGCTCTGTCTTCATCAATACGTGAATTCCAAGGAGGGATGTTATTCTTTGTAACATCATCCCTATAGTTGTACAGTCTGTTTCATGAAATATCTTATTTTTTGAAATTATTTATATCATGTTTAGGGCCTTAGTTTTTAAGTGTAAATCAATAAGCTCTACTTTCAGAGAGCTAAAAATAAATGAAGATAGACTCCACCACAGTGTACACCAAGGTCTTTCAAGGTCACGCCTACTTGGGGGGGGAGGAGAGTGCTTTAATTGTTTAACTAAATTTGGTTTTTAGAGCTACTGGGAAAAGAAAGGTAGATTGAGTAGTTTATAAATCACTCAATGATCAAAATGATGTCACTCGGATTCTTTAGCTAGTGAAGAGAAAACCTTGGAGATTCTCTAAGATTAGACTGTTCAATTCAGGGGAGTATGGGAGGAGAAAAGCAAGAGAAGGTGTATCTCAGAAGGAAAAGTGAGGTAAAGGTTGGGGAGGCAGAGAACTGGAAAGGATGGTCAGGGTGGGTTTGGGGGGATTACCGGGCAGAAGTTCAGCACTCACCCCTCCAGGGCCTGAGGCCTTGTTCCCCCTGCTTACCTTCCCTGTGCCCTTTGGAGAAGTCTGCAGGAGGGTGTGTTTGCTTCTTACCCCAAGGCCAGACCTCCCGTCCCAGGGTCCTGGAGGAGAATATAAGGCAGTTGGTGGGCTCAGAGCAGATTGCAGGTGGTAGCTACCGTAGAAGTCGGGTGGAGGGACTGGCTGCCCTAGGAGGGGGCAGTCTGCTCTTCCACAAATCAGTGCTCCAGTGCAAATCAGGGGATGGCTGTCCTCACTGATGTGACCCTTAAGAGCTATTTCCTGACACCTGCTCTCCTGTGCTCAAGTCTCTGGATGTGACCTCCAGGTCTCACTCTCAAATAATGGTCAGTGAGAAAGACGGATGCCTGGACTCCCTCTATGAAGAAATCACAGAGCACCCGAGCCCCGGCTGGCTCTCTCTGGAGTAATGAGTAACGGCATTACTCATGCTGGTGTCCGAGCGCTCACTCCTATCAGATGAACAGCCCCATTCTCCTCTTGCCAGTAAAATCGAGGAGTTACATTATGTGCCCAGAGACACCCCAGAGTTCCTGATATTTCCTCAGTCTGAAGTTGAACTTCAGCAACTGGGTCTTTTTACCAACAGTTATGTAATTATTAAAATATTTTGAAATATGACTTTGGACTGGAAATAGGAAAGAGAAGGGAAGTATGGACACAGATAAAACAAAATAGCATTTCCACATTTCTGAATAGCCAGGAGACACATGTGGCTAGCCCAATGGGCGAGCTTTGTGCAATAACTCTTCTATTCTCGGCTAAAGAATACAGTGGTGGACTCGGCCCCTGTGGCTCAAGCGGCTAAGGCGCCAGCCACATACATCTGAGCTGGCGGGTTCGAATCCAGCCCGGGCCTGCCAAACAACAATGACGGCTGCAACCAAAAAATAGCCAGGCGTTATGGTGGGCACCTGTAGTCCCAGCTACTTGGGAGGCAGAGGCAGGAGACTCACTTGAGCCCAGGAGTTGGAGGTTGCTGTGAGCTGTGATGCCATAGCACTCTACCCAGGGGGACAGCTTGAGGCTCTGTCTCAAAAAAAAAGAATACAGTGGTGGCCTGGGTAGAGCATTTTGCTCTGTTGAGGATTCACACTTGCAAGGGGCCCTTGGACACGTTGTGATATGCAGTTCCCTTCTCTTGTGGCAAAGGTGTTATTCCTGTGGTTGGACCCAGTTCTAGGATCTTGGCATGCATTTTGGAGTTGCAGCTCGAAAAGTCTGCACCGTTTTCTCATACACATTAATTGTTAGCAGTTGTGCTTAATACTGCCTGGGAGAAAAGACCACAAAGCGCTTTCGTTGACTTAATTGTTGGCTTGATGTACGGCTGTTTAGCGACCACCTAAGCTGACAACATTGCCTCTTTTCCTGCTGTCTTTCCCCCTTCCCAGCGATATTGAGATTTCAAGAGGACAGACTCCAAAAGCTGTGGATGTCCTTGCCAAGGAGATAGGATTGCTTGCAGATGAAATTGAAATCTATGGCAAAAGCAAAGCCAAAGTACGTTTGTCCCTGCTGGAAAGGTTAAAGGATCAAGCAGATGGAAAATACGTCTTAGTTGCTGGGTAAGAATACGTTTAAAATCTTCTCTACGAAGGAGGCATGTTTATCCAACTCTCTTCCCTATTTTTCTCCGTCCTCACACCCCTTCAATCCCACCCTCTTTTCAGATTTGACATGATTTTGTCCATTTCATTTCATTGGGCACAGGTAAGTTTTTATTTCTGGTGCAGAACAAATTAGTTCCTTCTACAAAGTATGCAGCAGGTAAGTTTTTATTTTTGGTGCAGAACAAATTAGTTCCGTCTACCAAGTATGCAGCAGAATGTATGCTGCTACATTCTGTAACAAGTTGTATGTAACAAATCACCCTTGCTCCCTTGAGCTTTTTTATTTAGCTGTCCATGATAAAAATCAAAACAAGAATTGAAAGTAAAATATTTTGAACTGAGCAGATTTTTTTCGTGTCTTCTATTGAGAAACAATTTTAATGGAAAAAAGCACAAATAATTGTGTGAACCTTGTGTTTTTCTGCTAATGTCCTTAATACTGTTTATTTACATATCTGCATTATACAAACTTATTATTCCTCTTTTCTTGCATTTCAAAACTAATGTGGTACCATTTCTATTTATGTTGGTTATTTGATTAAAGAAGATTTCTAATTTCTGCGAAAAGCAGTATTTGCTTTATCCCCCCTTTTTCAGAAAGAAATGTGTTCACTAGCTGAAAAGATGGTAGAAAGCAAGGGATTTCAAATATTTATTCAATGTGACCTCAGGGAGCATCAAGAGACATATAAATTCCTTTGTTGTCTTGAAATTTCATTGCAGGGACTAGGCTTATGATATATAGGCCAAGGCTTGAGGGGCAAAAACCTATGTGTTAAGCAGAGGACATTCTTATAATTGGACTTGACTCACAGTTAACTTTGTTTTCACAGATTTAATTATCAACGTAAGTCCTTTTTTCTTTATTTCTTTTTCCGGTTATAAAAATAATACCAGCTCATCGTAGAAATATTCCAAAAATACAGAAAATATAAATAAGAAAGTAAAACATCACGTATCTACCACCTAGAGGCAACTGCTGTATTTTTTATGAAACATTTGAGGACTATTTTTTTTTTTTTTTTTAAGAGACAGAGTGCCACTTTATTGCCCTGGTTAGAGTGCTGTGGTGTCACAGCTCACAACAACCTCCAATTCCTGGGCTTAGGCGATTCTTTTGCCTTAGCCTCCTGAGTAGCTGGGACTACAGACGCCTGCCACGACAGCCAGCTATTTTGTTGTTGTTATTGTTGTTGCAGTTTGGCTGGGGCTGGATTTGAACCTACCACCCTCAGTATGTGGGGCCTGCACCCTATCCACTGAGCCACAGGTGCCACCCTTGAGGACTGTCTTCACATGGATAGAGTCTTTCATAAGTGAGGTCATACTAGATATGCTGTTCTCTAAGTGACTTGGTTATTCAGCCATATGTGTTGTGTACCTTATGACTGAATATAGAGCTGTGCTACTTACCATTTTTTATGACCACGTAACATTTCAATGCTTACATCCCAGATTTTATTGGGTTTTTTTTTTATTTGTTTGTTTTTGAGACAGAGTCTCACTATGTCACCCTTAGTAGAGTGCTATGGCATCACAGCTCACAGCAACCTCAAATTCCTGGGCTCAAGCAGTTCTCTTGCCTCAGCCTCCCAAGTAGCTGGGACCACAGGCGCCCGCCACAGCACCTGACTATTTTTTGGTTGCACTTGTTATTGTTTAGCAGGCCTGAGCCAGGCTTGAACCCCCTAGCCTTGTGTATGTGACTGACACTCTACTCACTGAGCTTCGGGCCCTGAGCCTGTTTGTTTGTTTTTTGAGACAGTCTCACTCTGTTACTGAGGCTGAAGTGCCACAGCCTTAGCCTAACTCACAGCAACCCCAAACTCCTGGCTCAAGCGATCCTCCTGCCTCAGCCTCCTAAATAGCTGGGACTGTAGGTGCTGGCCACCAAGCCTGGTTAATTTTTAGTAGAGATGGCATCTCGCTCTTGCTCAGGCTGATCTAGAACTCCTCAGCCCAAATGATCCTCTTGCCTAGGCTTCCCAGAGTGCTAGGATTATAGGTGTGAGCCATGTACCTGGCCTCACATCCCATATTCCTAAACATGCTAGAGAAAGGGGGTGGGGGGATCCAAATGCCTGGGATGGGGGTAGATTCCATTTTACACATCTTCTAGCACCTCTGGTTCCACTGCTAGGCACTGCTGTGGCTGAGCCACTGGCAGTACAGCTCAATTCTATTTCTTTGTATTGATGTGAAAAAATGACTTGGATATTTGATAGGGGTGTTCCATAATTTATTTAACTAATTTTCTATCAATGGGGAATTAAATTGTTCCCAGTTTTTTGCCATTATAAACTGTGGCAAAATTATCGATTTTGGGCATGTATATTTGTGTGTTTGTCCAATTATCTATCTCCTCAGCTCCCCTAAAGGTAACTTTTTTTTTTTAACCAAACACATCATCCTGGAGACACCAGCAACATTTTAAAGTCTATATGTAAAGCAAAACACCTTCCAATAATAGTATCACCTTTTAATGGTGTAGTAATTTCTTTACAGCTCTTTTCCTTCCCTCCCTTCCTTTTCCACCTCCCCTTACTTCTCTTATCCCTCCTTCTGTTACTTTTTTGCAAGAGGGCTGTAGACAGCCAAGATGGCTCCGTCCTGTGACAGCTGGGGTTTTAAGGAATTCATACTTTGCTGCAGCCCCCCAGTTGCCGGGGACTTATCATTTCTCTCTCAGGCTTCCAGGCTCTCTGCAGTTGAACTCCTGCGTTCCCTTCTAACTACAACTGAAACCCTGAAATCCCCATAGCTGAGCTGTGGGGAAGCTCCTTGCGGAGGGAGGTGTTGGCCCCACCTGTCTAGCTAAGGCGGACTCAGTCTCACCTGGCTCCCTGAGGTTGGAGCAGGCATCTTGTCAGGGTTGTTTTCGTTGACATTTCCTTGATATACATTTGTTTATGATGAATAAACAAACTCTTAGACATTAAGAACTTTAAAAACACCCCCCTTTAGACCTGGTTCCCTGGTTCGCTCAGGCTTCACGTGATGTTGGCAGGTGGTTTGCTGGTTTTCTCCCTGTGTTTAGATGGCAGGACTGAAGGGAAACAGGAGGATGCACTCTCAGTTGACGAAGAAGAATCACAAACCATTTTTCTTATAGAATGATGTACTCCATTGGGGGTTTGTCAGAACTGGAAGTAAAAACACAAATCCAGACATGACCCTACCCTTGGTTGGGAACATAGAATCAATACTTCTAAAACAATAGCCATGATGACGTAAGTTCCTAACTAGAATCAAATCGCCAAAGCCTGGCCTCCTGCTGCATGCTAGAGAATGCTAGTGGGCATGGCTGGCTTGGGATGACATCTGGGGCCTCTGTGTCCCCAGCAGGACGGTGCTGCTGTGCTTATGCTCGAATTGGTAATTGTGACTGAGCCCAAGTCGGCCTGCCGTGTTGTAAATAGTAGTAAAAATGAAACATGAATTCTCAAGCACAATTTTGTTTTATTTACTATTTTTTTTGAGACAGAGTCTCACTCTGTTGCCCAGTCTAGAGTGTCGTAGTGTCATAGCTCACAGCAACCTCTAACCCCTGGATTCAAGCGATCCTCCTGCCTCAGACTCCTGAGAAGCTACCGGCTAATTTTTCTATTTTTAGCAGTGACAGATTTTATTTATTTATTTATTTATTTATTTTGAGATTGACTCTCACTTTGTCACCCTTGGTAGAGTGTTGTGGCATCATGGCCCACAGCAACCTCAAACTCTTGGGCTTAAGTGATTCTCTTGTCTCAGCGTCCCAAGTAGCTGGCTGGGATTACAGGCGCCTGCCACAATGCCCAGCTAGTGGTTGTTGTTGTTGTTGTCATTGTTGTTTAGCAAGCCCCGGCTGGGTTCAAACCCACGAGCCCCGGTGCATGTGGCCGGCATCCTAACCACTGAGCTGGAGGTGCTGAGCCTACAGACAAATTCTTGTTCTTGCTTAGGCTATTCACAGACTCCTGAGCTCAAATGATCCTCTCACTTCAGCCTCTCAGAGTGCTAGGATTACAGGGATGACTCACCACACCCAGCCTCTGGAGTACACATTTGGCCCCAAGATCGATAATTCTTTTTCTGAAATTGTGATACAAGTTCCTTCACCTAACAAGCCAGTGAAGGAACCAAAATTAAATGGTGTTCTTTTCAATAGTATTGGGAAAAAAACATGTGAGGGTAGAAGTATGATATATGTGCATCTGTAGCAGAGCTGAGGACTTTTTTGGAAATACATACCATACTGGATTGTGTAAGGGAAAAATCAGCAGTTTAGGTTTATAAACTGGGTATAGTATCTAATCTTTTAATAGCTGGATGATTGAGATCAGTTTAAAACATAGACAAATATTTTATCTGTAATCAGAAAAGTCAATTTGAAATGAAATTCACCTCCATATTTTTACTTTTGATTGCATCGAAAAGTAGGAGAATGTGACTTTATCAAACCATTGTTACAACGTCTTTAAAAATATAAATGACCCCATCATTAAGTGGAGAATTATTGCCTTTCTCTTTTTATTCTGAAAATAGCATCAGCTCATTGTAAAATCAATTTAACAACCAGAAAAGCAAAAAGAAGGGGGAGAGTGAAGGTCCTTTATTACTCAGAAGTGTTATTTCCTTCCGGGATGTTACCTATACACTCATCCTTGTTAAACACTGAGCTTGTGTTATAAATGCCATTTTTTGTCCCGTCTTTTTCTCTGAACACTGCACCATAAATCTTTTCCCATGGTTTATCAGAATTTAAATACCCAAGTTATTTTTCAATAAACCTAACAATATAGTGGTTATCATACATTTGAATTTATGTATAAATATGATTTAACTGTATCAATAATGGGATTAAAATGCAAAACAATGAGTTTTTTGTAAACTTCTATTATTAGTAACTAAAATGAAGCACAGATTAATTTTTTTATAAAGCCATTCTTAAACTTCAGGGCTTTGTATTCGGTCAG